GACTTACGTCGTCTAGTGTTTCATAGTCTACTTTGATGGTTGCTTTTGGAACACTGATAATATTTTGTCTTTCCTTTGATATTGAACAAGGGTCTTTTCTTTCATTAGGCAATGTGCTGAACTCAGCTTTGGTCTACATATGAGCCTGGTGGTTTTTAAAACTTGCTTGTTCCTCTCTAAGTGGGAGCTATAGTTGTTTCTTGTTATGTTCCAGGATAAACTTACACATGATTGTCCCAGATGCTGAGGGTAATGTGATTCCCCTCCAGTTATTGCAGTTGGTAAGGTCAGCCTTCTTTAGCAATTTTACTATAAGGCCTTTCTTCCACTGGATTGGGTTCTATTCTTCATTACATATTCTATTAAAAAACACAAAGAAAGTCTGGAGGGCTATTGTGTCACTTGCTTTAAGCCTCTCTCCAGCAATATTCTCCACTCTAGCCAGTTCCCCATTTTTGAGGTTACTAATGGCTTTGACAACCTCTTCTATTGTAATATCTCCTAATTCAATGTCAAGCTCTAGTGGTAAGTCTTCTTTATGTAATTTGCTTGGGCTTGGTCTATTTAAAACAGCCTGAAACTTTTCTGTCCACCTTTTCTTTTAGTTTGTCTTTGTTCTAGCAAGAATAAATTACAGTGATCAAGCCTTGAGGTCATGGGGGCTCACAATGTGATTGTAAAGGCAATATCAAATAAGAGCACAGCCTGCACAAACTGTACAGCAGAGAAAATAATTTCCAACATATAGCTGGCCATACAAAGAGCCTGCTTGAAAATAACACCAGGATTCTTAATCTATCTGCTTCCAAACATGCACCCTTGGGGTATGTTTGCTCTGTAAAAAACAAACAAAAAAACCCCATCAGCAGCAAGGCTTAACCTACACACTCAGTGTATGTCTACACTTACCAGGGATCGACGCTGCTGCAGTTGATGCAGTGGGGGTCAATTTAGCGAGTCTAGTGAAGATCCGCTAAATTGACCGCAGAGCGCTCTCCTGGCAACTCCGGTACTCCACTGGAACGAGAGGAGTAAGGTAAGTCAATGGGAGAGCGTCTCCTGTCGACGCAGCGTGGTGCAGACACTGCAATAAGTCGACCTAAGCTACGTTGACTCCAGCTACATTAATCACATAGCTGGAATAGTGTAACTTAGGTCGACTTACCCCAGTAGTGTAGACAAGGCCTCAGGTTCGTGCCATGGCACTAAAAATAGCAGTATAAAACAGCTCAGGCTGAAGATTGGGCTCTGAGCTCCACCCCACCTCTCCGGGTTTCAGAGCCCAAGTTGGCGAGTCATCCTAATGGGTAATGCTGAACCTAGTATCACTGGCTCCTTCATCTACCCATTTCATCCTCAGCACATCACCAGTAGCAGTGCTAAGGAAATTTTAAGTCAAACACTATAATCCAACTTTAGTTGCAGATGCTATTATTAAGGACAGGCACTTCTGACTGTCCCTCCTTAGTCCTCTGTTACAGTTACAGGGCTTTTTACAGCGCTGCAGGTGCCCTCCCTAAAGTCCAATGGTGTCTTTGTAACTTAGTAAAATGCCAAATACACATAAGGACACAACTGATTTGCACAGAGCTTTCATCGGCAAACTCTACATGGGTAAATTAATGGAGCTGAGTGAAGGTACATTTACTTTATCATGCTTTCCTTTCCTTTTCTGTGTGTGGCTGGACTCAGGGAGAGGGGCAGTGGTTCAGTGATTTCCAGTGGTAGCATTGCCACCGGCCCTTATCTCCTCAGTCAATCGGTTACTAGTTGGTTGTTGCCACAGTTAATAATGATGCAGGCAGTTCAGATAGGCCTTCTTCAGCTGAAGGATGCTTAAACTATGTAGGCAATTGCTGACAGGATCATGGCTCCTTTACTCTTTTAATAGTTACTAAATGTGGGATATCTCTTGCATGGCAAAATATATGCACCTTCTTCCTTCCTTAGCCATCTCCCCCTAAAGAAGGCCTGTTTATAAACCCTCACTAAGGAAACACCATGGAAGATGGTCACAATTGGATGAGCGCGCTGAGATTTTTGTGTGTGCTTGGTATCTAGTTATTTGGTTAACTGAATTTGCAGAAATTCCCAAGGAAGCTAGGAAATCTAAAGCTTTCCTTACTTTTATGCCAATTTAAACTTCATTCTCTTTCACTGTTACATGATTTATCTTCTGTAAAATGCATTTTAACTTAATTTTAAAGTATACAATTATGAACAACTCTGTGACTGATTTGGTGACGATGGTAGGGCTCCATTGGTCCAGAGGGGGATGTACTATTCTTTAGCATTTTCATGCTACTTAATTGTCCTGATTGTTATAAGAATGCATTTAAAGCATGCTTCTCTGATTTAATTTTTAAAATCTTTGAAAACCTGTAGTACACATACTTGTAATAGAATAACTAATGTGACATAGCATTTACACTGCACTGTCCATCTGCAAAGTGCTTTGCATACAACCTAACTATGCAGAGCACATGGCAGGTGGCCCAGTATTTGTAAGAGAGCGTCACATACCAACCCCATTAGCTAGATTATTAGGATTAGGATGGTGATATATGGTTTTGTTTTGTTTGAAATTAATGGTAAGATGGAGGCGGGGAAGCGGAAAGGCCACTAAGGAAAAGAGCAAGCCAATAGACACCCCCCAAAAAATCAAATCCTGTGACCATGCAGCATGTAGACAAGTGGCTCCATATTGTTGCCTCTTTTGGTCTGAGTGGTTAGGCGATATTCAGGGCCTTGCAATTGTTTCTGTTAGGTGGAGAAATTGAAGCCAGTCAAGTGGTTCCATGGTGCAGTCCTGCTTATTTAAAAAGAATGCATATAAGTTTCTGTTTCCCTGAAAACGTAGGCACAAACAACAGGAGGCAGTTTATTTGGTCACAAATCCAAGCCTGACTTTCCCACCAGCACTCTGCCCAAAAGCAGCTCTCTCCTGGCTTCCTCTCCAGGCCACGTTCACCAGTGTTTCTCTTGCTTTCCCCTAGCATTCTGCTTCTGATACAGACACACACAGCTGCGAGCCAAGGAATGCCATAACCCCCTGCATTGCAATCAGTCCCCAGGGAAACCCCTCTTATGCGTGATTTAGTCCTTGCTCAGGCCTTCCATGTAGCCTCTGATTTGGGCTTCTATTATTTCAGCCATCTAACTTAATAAAGGAGCTTAATTGCTTTTTTTCCCTTTAGCCAGAATGAAGGGCGGCAAGCACATGCATCAGCTTCAGCAAGGTCTGTGATTGCCCATAAATCACACACACTTGCTGGCAGCTTCCAGCACCCTCCGGCATAACAACATATATTCTGAATGTAATGCTCACACTTCAAGAGATGTAGCCTGGACACTAATGTGTAAATTCATAAAGCTTTCATTGGTATTTATACCTACATAGTGTAGTGCCCAGTAAAGTGCAACATCATTCAGTTCCTACTAAATAATCTTTGCTAGGCATTCATGACCTGAAAGCTGGATAGATGCTTTACTGCTATGTTGAGTCTAAAATGACTCCCTTTAGTCATTCATTAGTGAAAAGTAGCAGATACAGTATAGAACTTGTTAGAGCAAAACACTTGAATTTTGGCCAAAGCCTGAACAAACAGCCTTTGTACTGTGGTTCTGTAAAGGGATCCAGGACGAGACTTCTCCTCCCCCAGCCAGACCACACTCAGCGCTGCTCCAGTGTTGCTTCTGCCGGCTCAGGGCTGCAGTACTGTCCAGCTCAACTCTATGCTTCCCCTTTTCAGAGGATTTTGGCCAATAGCTCTAAATAGCTAAGGAAGCACTGGCAACACTCTCCTCCCATTTCTCAAACTGCTGCACACTGCCATTCAGGGTTGGGCTACACTTGCAAGTTAGAGTGCATTAAAGCAGCTCCAGGCGCCCTAACTCATGACCCGTCCACACTGGCAAGGCACTTAGAGTGCTCCTGGTAACACCTCCACGAGAAACATAGCGCTTGCTGCGCCTCGGCTGAAACACCCCAGCGTCAGTGTGAACGAGGTGTTGCATTACTGCGCTTTGATTGGCCTCCAGAAATGTCCCATAATCCCCTTAAGTGAAGTGGCCACTCTTGTCATTGTTTTGAACTCGGCTGTAGGAATGCGGATATCTCCTTTCAAAGCTCCGTTTCTGACAGCCGGCATGCTTATCTGCTCCGGGACAAAGCAACCATTAGTGTGGAATGTTGCTGCTGTGAGTGTATATGAGAGAGAGGCGGGGGGGGGGGAGTGCGGGAGAGGGGTCTGCTGCTGTCTAAACTTACAAGACAGCATGCTGACATGTTCTCAGCCTCCCAAAACCCACTCTCTCTCCCCCCACATACACACAACACAGTCCCTGTCACACTCCACCCCACCCCATTTGAAAAGCACATTGCAGCCACTTGCATGCTGGGATAGCTACCACAATGCACTGCTCTCTGTGGCATTGCAAGAGCTGCTAATGTGGCCACGCCAGTGTGCTTGAATCTGACAGTGTGGACACACGGCACCGCTTTCCCTACTGCGCTCTCCGAGGGCTAGTTTAACTCACAGCGCTCTACATCTGCAAGTGTAGCCATGCCCTCAGAGCCTGTGATGTGGCACAGAGGGTGTGTGGGGGCTGTGTTGCCTCATCCCATGCTGCAGAACTGGGCTGGTTTTCTCCTGCATTTAGGGGTGGAGCAGAATGTTGTCCTTAGAAGTTTAATTTTTGACAGTGTAATATTACAGTACAATGACTGAAGAAAACCTCTATTTCTGGCAATAAGAGCGCTGCCGTATTGCTGCAGTATTAAGAATAGTATTTCATTTACATCATTGTTGTTCTGAAAATAAAAGCTACATTATTCTTTTGTTTGCCTGTGTGATGCTCTATGAAGATCACAAATTCTTTTAAAGAATGGTGCAAGTCATTCCACTTAGGAAAGAAACAAAGCATCACGTACCAATTCTGTAAAGAAAATGTTTTATTTAAAGTGTTAAATACCATCACCAGAATGAATTTGATTTACATTAGTTGGTGTTCATTACAGGCCTAATCTGCCCTTTTTTCCCCAACTGTAATTCCCTTTAACTTTTAAAACGTACTATGTACAAGACAGCAGTGATCACTGGAATAGTGCTATTTACATGACTAAATCATAAGTAGAGTTGCAGATGTGTGAAAATTAAAAAAAAATTACATTAAATTTTAAAATAAATACTGCATAATGCAAGTATGTACAATCCTTCCATATGGTCATGTTCTTCTTTTCAAAATTAGAAATAATTTATAGAGGAATATGCATAAAAGAATGTGTGACTGCATCTGATAGTATTAGGAAAACAGTTTTGTACTTTTTTTTAATTCTAGGGGATATTGTAGACTGTATGTCTTTAGCATTTATTTGTTGCTGATACACAGGTGTCTAAATTATTTCAATAAACATAGTTTTACCGGTCTGTTCATTAACTTAACATTCATCCATCATATAATCTCAGAATGACAAGACACAGTCTTGATGTGTATCATATTGCACCACATAAAGGAAAAGGCATATAAAGTGATATTGTTGTTACTTTTATGAAACATGGACAGTTTTCTGATGGGCACCATTAATAGCTTTTCAAACAAAATCAAAATAATTCTGTGTGCATGGCCTTAATTTAAAGTTAAATGCAATGTGTATTTCTAAAATTATTGCAAGTTTTCACCATTAAACAATAATTATGTATTAAAGGCATATAAAGACCCAGAAAAAGAGAGAAAGTTTATCATTAAATATTAGCCAGTTACCTTCCCTTTAAATATGAGAAATGAATGAGCAATCTAGACTTGCAGCACCACCCAATGGTAGTAAATGCCTACTACATGGAGACAGATATTTTATAATCTGTTGACTTTGCATTAGGCTTGTGGTGATGGTGTCAAATAACTGTTCAATGATACATGTTCTACTTCCTTTAAGGCAATTACAAATCAAAGTGACATTTTTATGGCGGACCGATGTTCACTAATTACATTGTTGCCATCACAAATATAGAACATGAAAAACTGAACTTTACAGCAGAAGAATTATGAAGAATTAATAACCTTTGTTGGTTGACTCCAAATATGTAGCAATTTGTTTGGCTCAGTGCAAATGAAACCGCTGAAATTTAGTTCCTAAAAATCGAACATTTGGTTCATTTTTTTTCTCTCTCCAAAACCTTCAAGAAATTATAGTTCAACCCTTGAATGAATGATGCTGGTGCTGAAAACAAATTTATTGAAGACATCTTACAATGGCCACATGATTCCAGTATTTTGCTGCAGAATTCAATTTGAAGGTGAGAAAAAAATGAAAATAAGTTACCATGCACTGTACAATTAATTGCAAAAAGTTCAAATATCTTCTTTATCAAATACATGCTGAATTACTTTAATGAACTCCCAAGCCATGTTGCAAAATCCTTTTCAACATGCTTGAAAAAAGTAAGCTCTTAAACAATATTTTTGTCCAAGAATTCAGAAATGCAAAACAATCTGCAACCCTGAACCAAATATGGGGCATAAGAAAGTAATAAGTCAAAAGGTAGCAGTTTTAGGATATAATGGATCATCCTGGAAAATAAGAGGGGGAAAAAGAGTCAAAGGAAGATTCAGAAGAGAGAGAAAGGAGGAAGAAGTGTACAATTTGCACATAATGTTGAACTTTACAAGGCTTGTACCTTTTACATTTAAATAAATTTAATATATTACACTTATTTCTTGTCACATAAACAGAATTTTAAATATTAGCTAGAAATTATCATCTTTTATTTTTAATATATGTCTGCAAAAACACAGATCATGATTGGTTTAAAGAATGATAAACATGGTGTCTTTGTATCACCCTGTTGCATTCTCTCCCCTTTAAAACCATGCACTAGTGAAATTTACTTTTAAAAATAATATAAATTGTTGAAAATGGCTGATTTATTCTTTTTTTGCAAGTTGCAGCCCCAAGAAAATAATTTAAGTGTTCAGCTAAATCTGTGTCCATGCAAAAAAGTTTCTTTAATTTCATACAGTACAGTATATCCAAAGAATTTTATTTTTCAGAGAGTCCATCATATCTGGGGTTTCACTGTAGCGATAGTTGGAGTTATGAAGCCTGCCACTATAACTTTTAAAGCATTCTAGTACGAAGAGTTTTCTCTGGTCTTTGTTCCATATGACAGCTGACTTTTCTTTTTCGATGGTCTTACATTCTTCTGTTGTTCTTCTGACATCTACTATTCCACTGACTTGTAACATGGCTTCATGGGGGAGGGGTGTAGCTCCATTTCTGTGGCATAACCAGGCTTGGGGGGGGGGGGCAGTTAAAAGGGAGCAACAAAATAGATATGCCATTGAAAAGGACTTTTGTTGCATGAAACACATTGATTCTTTTAGTTTAATCCATGGCTTCAGATTGGACCAAAATTTAAGTGTCACTGAACTCCAAACCTGTTAGTTCTTTACAGCTCCACTCTTTCACCTGAGGGCCTTCCTTAGTGCACAATGTGTGCAACTTCCTCTGAGAACACAGGATCGCTTGGTAGCCCTAGAAACAGGCTCAGAAGACACAACATTAAGCATGCAGTGTTACCAGGGTTTGCGACCTGTAATTTTTTTTTTGTAACGCTGGTTGCTATGACAACAGTTTCACAGCTGCTATGAGCGAGCATAAGAAGGTCCTGTTGAACTTTCAAGAGATGACTGGGAAGCTCTTCTAGTCAGAGGAGCCAAAGTTGGATCTACTAAGGAGGAAGGGGGGAAAAGTTTGAACCATCCAATCACCATATTTGACAAGTCCAGTTCATCTAAAAGTATCTGTGCCACTCCCATAAAAGATTTGTGATCCATACGTCCATAGTCTCCCCAAACAATTATCTGTTGGTAAAGGAAACAAAAGATAGAGATGTTTCAGCAACAAATATGAAAGCTGTGATCTGATGCAACCAATTCTTCAGATGTAACCAGTTACCTATTCACAAACAACAACCCTAAAGAAAGATGGTCTGTTGGACTTTTGGCATGGTCTAGCCCTGGTTCTGCTATAGTGGTGCAGCCATAGAAGTCCTCTGGGCTGTAAACTTATTTAATCATGTTAAATAAGAACTAAAAGATTGAGACCCAGTGTGAAATAGAGACCGTTTATCATCCAAATACATCCAAAATATGCTTGTACTAATGCCACACACACAGTTTAATGGGTGGCTGAATCCACAAAGTGCTGGACAGCTTTGGAATGGAAGGGGGAATATACCGAGAGCTAGACACCTCCTCTCCCTGAGCACTCCACCACCTACTGCCCAGCCAGAGGGAGATGGGAGTAGACTGGCTCCTTGCTCCCCACAATCATTAATCTCAACAAGGATCCAGGGTTTCTTGAGCCTCTTGCTCCATTTTAGCTGAGCCCACCTGCCCTCCCAGTAGTTATATAATATAGGAACTGTGTTTCTAGGATGCCATGGAACTGTTTTAGAGGTCAGGAAGGATTTTTTTCCCTGTCTGTGTCAAACTCGCTGAGGCTTATTAGGTTTTTTCACTTTCCTCGTAGCATCATGGAGACACAGGTTACATAGGAACAGGAGTTAGAAATTTGTATGAATGTTTAGTTCATCACAACTTGCAACCACTGTACAGTGCAGATAAAAGGCCAAAAGGGCCAATGACCAGAAATCAGAGAACGAGGATTTCGTTGGTGGATCTCAGACCTACGGGAAAAGGGGAGACCTGAAGACTTTACAGACCAAGGTCCCTTTTTGGTACCTTCTGTCCCCTTTACAAGCGGGGAGGGTGAGATGATTCAGCAAAGTGAGCTGAATCATAGGGGTAAGCAGTGGAAAGTCTACCCTGTGTTAAGGAATATCTGATAGGAGCCCTGTAAGCCCCACCCTGGACCCAGTTAAAGGCCTAGTACAGGGAGATGGGGCAGATAACACCCCACCTGGGTATTAAAGTTTAATAAAGTTGTGGCCTTACAATTAAATCCATCCCTGTGCCTGTTCTCATTTGCCTGTGTGTCCTGATCAATGTTCATGCAGCACCTCTTACTGGCTAATCATCAATAGAGCATAAGTCATTGCTATGGTAGCCATCTGCTCAGCAAGGCTTTGAAATAACAGGACTTGTAGAACGAGGCGTGGAAGGAAGTCTTGGGCTCATTCAGTGAGAATTGTACAAGTGAAACATTTTCAGATAGACAAGAATATTGATGTAAATTACCTGTAAAACTTTTCCTTGGGGACTGTCTTCAAATGACAAAAGTTGCTGATAAAGAGGTTCAAGCGTTTTTCTTGCTACCTTTGTTTTCTTTTTGGCTATGCAGGCTCCATTTTCTAATAGATACACCTTTACATATGGTGCTTAGAGGGGAAGAAATGAAGAAGAGTAAGTGAAAGGCTAATCCAGATTTTGCAAGCTAGCTGCAATGTTCTATCGCCATTCGCTGAGTCCTGTCATTTAGTAGATAAATACCTTAATTAAACAAGTGCTTGAATACAGTATTCAGTAACTATGAACCTTTATCCTTATGTAACATATTCATGTCTATCAGAATTCAAACCTTCTCTATATTTCTCTCTCTTTTGGTACTGTCTACTTTATGAATCAATTCAGTTTTTTAACTGAAAAAAAATCAAACATTTCTTCAATGAACAGTATGTGCCACAAAACTGATCCAAAGCCCATTAAGTAAATAAAGGACACAGACTTCAATGGGCTTTGGATCAAGCCTCAAGTAGTTTATGCTTTCAAATAATCTGCAAGACAAAAAGCTGTGGAGAGAAAGATTCTAAACTGATTTATATTTTGACAGAAGAAAACATGCTAAACATGTCACTGTATTGTCCCCTTATTCAACACTGTATACTAACATAGTAGGACAATATATTGTAAAAAGAAAAGAAAAGAAACATCAGGTATCTGTCTGCTTTCTAAGTTATGTATCTATTCCAAGCATTTTGTTAACTTCCTCCTCTCCCTTAAATTACTTATGTCACATCTTCAACACATGCTTCCTTTCCCTTCCCTATAGCCAAGGAGGCATTTGCTGTTATTAAAATAGCTGTAGTCCTTTAATGGGAGCCCAGAGCACAGCATCACCAAAGACATTTGCTGTTAACATTTTCTCCTGACGTTGGGGTTGAAATGAAATCTCTATATGTACATGTATGTTTTCATACCAGGTCAGTACATTTTTACTTTGCAATGTACAATGAATGCTATAACCCACTGCTATTAGCTATTTGTTAATAGATTTCACTCAACTTGAACAGTGAAGCCTCAGAAATTTTTCTGCAGACAGAACTTTGTGTGTTAGCAAGGTATTCCTATTCACATAAATTGGTTCTTCTTTTCTTACCTGGCAGTGTCTTTGAACCTGGTTTTACAACAAGGCCACGGGCTCGTATTATTTCTACCTCCAACTGTCCTTTTTTGTCCATCATTCCAACCTGGATATCACCTGTGAGAGGAAAATTTTGAGACATTGCAATTTAAGAACATCCAATCATATATAAATTAGTGACATGTTATGGAATTAATATATGACATCTTCTTTCTTTCACATAACACCAACAAAGTCAATAAGGAATTAACTATAATAGATACTTTTTAAAGATTTTTTCCCACTGCTATTTGAGGTCCTGTACAGTACAAAACCCACTACAGATAATATTCTTATCTTGGTTTCTCTCCCTTAATCTAAATTAAATTTCTTTTCCCCTTTACATACACTTCAGTGAGCTAAGAGTCACTAAAAGAGCCATTAAAATACATTTGTAAAGCTGTTGCAAATATTTCCATCATGCTTCTAGTTTAAAAAAATATGCATCAAAAGATGTTTGTACATTTAAAGGTTATAAGAACAATAACTACAAATTTTTGCATTTAAACAGCACTTTTCACTTGACAATCTCCAGCTGCTCATACCAGTGGGTAAGTAATATTATCCCCATTTTACAGATGGGAAACTTAGGTACAGAGAGATTAAGGACCAAATTTTCAAAACCGAACCTCTAGTTTTGAGTGTCTGAATATTTCAATAAGCAACTTTAGTCACCTAGGTCCTGATTTCAGAGCTGTTGAGCATCAACAACAATAACCAATCTCATCTGAAGATGAGGTCGCGATAGTTAGAAGACACTTTTGAAAATTTGGCCCTTGGTGACTTGTTCAAGATCACACAACAAGTCCATGGCATGGCCAGAACTAGAACTCAGCTCTCTTGATTCCTATTATGGTTCTTTAATTATTAGACCACAAAGATTATGCTGAAACTGCAAGATATGAATTCTTACCCATAGATGGTGTTGCCAGCGTTTGGCGTCCTACTAGCTGGGCAGGGCCAAGTCCATCTAGAAAATCACTGAACTGGCTGTCAGAGGCCAACCGCACACCTGGGAAAATCAGACTAAAGGAAACAGAACAGTTTAAATTACCATTTGCAAGCTCTTTTTAACAATCTCAACCAATGGCAACTCAGGCTCCAGTACACAGTTGATTAGGATGATCTAATTCTCATGTTCTCTCCTCCATTATGACATTTCTCCATCTTGCTCCTTTTTTGTTACATCAAGATATTGTTAATTCCTGCGCTATTAATAAGGGCCTGGATTCCACAAGGTACTTAAGCACATATTTAACCTGAAGCACACGAGCAGTCGCATTGAAGTAAAGTTTTTGGCAAATATTTGTTTACATTTTTAAGTGAACTCACTTTGACTGTGTTTGCTTTCTACAAATACTCAAGCAAATGAATGCCAGTAATGGCAGAAATGTTTGGTGAAATAGTGAACTTTAATTGAGTGTGCAAATATTCATGGAAACAATTTTCAGAATCACATGCATGTGTATTTGCACCTGAAAACTCTTCCTATCTAATCAGGGAAGAGAAATGCACCATAAGGCTTATATAATTAAACAAAAGAACTCAAATTTCATATACTAAAATTTGCCTGTGAACAACTACAGACCAAAAATTAGTCACAGAAATTATCTGGTTAATAACTAATACTTTTGACACAATCTTTCTGTGGATGATTTATGAACAGAAAAAAGAGGAAAAACGGGTCAAATTAATTATTCATTACAAATTATTTTCATGGCTCTAGCCATATAAAAATTATGTACTTTGATACACCAAGCTCTGTAGAGTCTATTGCCTGGTAGAGTACACCACATTCGTATAAACCATACTTTGTGAGATATTTGTGTAAACTATTTGTGCAGATTTTATTTAAAGAATTATTTAACTTGGACCCTCTTGAAAAAGCCAAGTGTAGGAAGTTAAAAACATAGGGCCAAATCTTTACTCTTGCCCATGCAAAAACACACAAAGGGTCACCTTGACGACTTTCTAACAGGTTGTGTCAGTATAGGCAGGGGTATTTGGAAAAAGAAGTAGGTTCCGATTATAGAATTTGTGGATCATGGAAGATGTGCTAGAGGTCCTCTGCCTGAAGTAGGTTTCACAGAGTAGAAAGACTCCTGATGGCAGATTCTCCACCAGGTTACAAGAGGTACGATGCACTTAGTACACCCATCTGTATTCCTCCCAATCTATACACTCAGATCCTAGACTCACTGAGAACTCTCTGCAGGTCTTAGTGATGGTGCTGCAAAGTGACACTAACAACTACAACATAGGCAGTAGGCGATCCCTCCATATACAGATCATAGAAGAACATTTTAGACATTGTTTTTACTCGGAAAACTTCCCTCAAGCAAATTGATTTAAATGGGAGTTCTGCCCTGAGTATGGACTTTAGGATTCAGCTCCTGTTTTTTTATAGGACTAGTTTAGTGGAGAAACATAAGACAAGAACATCATAACCAGTCAATCTTACTCACTTTCCCTCAGAACTGTAGCTGTTCATGCTGCCATCTGTAGATTCCCGGCTGGCCTGACGTGTCATCCAGTTTCTCATTTCCACAGCCAGCCCAGTCTCTGTGCTTCTTTGGACTGTGCTCCGCAGCTTCTTACCACCGGCTTCTGTAAAAACAGACCAGAACACTTAGTGGTATCTCACTATAATAAATAGATTTACTTTGAGGGCAATAATATAGACAATACATATTATAGAAGGATGCCAAAGTAGGAATATACAAATATGTATTAAAAATACTGTGCACATATATTTGAGCAACAGACACTTTGACACAACAATCAGCAGACTGTGATATTGTAGATCTTTTAAAATATATTGGTTCTATGAGTTGCAGTTTTTTATGACAGCATTGAGAGAACGAGAACATAAAAACCCTTGAAATATATTCAACTCACAAAGGTAATTAGATTTATTACATACACAATTGAGTGTAGTTAAAAATATTTTGTCCTTTGATAAATGCATTCTTCTCCAGCGATTCTGTTGAAATGTCACTATTAAACTAAAACCTACACTATTTCAGAAATGGTCTGATTCAGGTTAAAAAAGCATTTGGTCATCATTTGCTTAATGAAGTTATAGATATCTATTATTGAGGAAGGTGAACAACAAAATACGATCCCTATTTCAGATCTTTCCTTTTCCTTTCCTGTTATTTTTAGTTAGTTAGCTTTATCTATGTATTGCAGAAGAAATTCAGCTTGTGCTTAGTTTTATGCACAATAATATGGAAATTCTATCTCTATACCTAAATGTAGACATCAGTGCTTACATATGTTCTATTTTAATTTTAGATACTGAGATAGACAGATAAAGAAGAAAAAATGAATAAAGTAGAATTTGGGTGTAGTGATTTGACATTAGGGATTATGATCTATTCTCCAGGTGCCACACTTGTTGATAGCTTTGACAAAAAAGCTAAGTACTGAAGCGGCATAGAGACTAAACTTCCCTCTTTCATGACTAGAGGTGGTCATTCCAAGTCATGTCTGAGTTGCTAATCTCTAATTCCAGCGAATGGTGTAGGGAAGCTTGAATTCCAGTTGCTTGGCCCTGTTCTTTGGATAAATAGCTGACTTCAGCCTGTATACTGCCCAAGGCTTTTACTTTTAATCACTACAGTGATATGATGAATAATAGGACGATTAACTTTGCTGCAAAATTTTGGCCACTCATGAATTTAGCATCCAATAAAGCAAAATCAGTTTTTGCTACATCAAAACTAATTACATCCATCAATATCAATAAACATAAATACAAGAACTAAGAGCTTTGTATTAGATCTGAAAAATGAAGGGCAAAGGGTGACAATTTCATTTATATCTGCTTGTACTGTTCCAAGTGTCTACTGGTTTTATTATTTAGATTAAACTAATGGAAGTTGACAGCCAACTTCCAACATTGGTCCAGAATTGATCTAAAATCCAGTTACTATGTCAGGAACAAAAGAATATTCTTACACAGCTACATGGCCAAACAGGCATCTATCTATTGTACACTGCATTACAGTGGAGGCCACATAAAAGGTTCACAATATCGGAAACCCCATACTCTTCACATTAAGAGACATGCAATATTACACTCTTTAAAAAATGTTCTTAGCCCCATTCAGTGTTAGTTTTTGTTCAGTTTATATTCAAGTACTGATCATTCCCAATTCAGTGTTGTTATACTCTCTAATGCAAACATGATAGAACACTTCCACTGTGCATGATTCTACAAGGTCACTATAATACACCTTTAGAATGGTCTTTTGGTCTTGTCATTAACTGTTGTTAATCATGTAAGGAAGAGTGACAATTCTAAATCTATTTGCCTTCACTCTTCAACAAAACTTACGTTAAGAATGAACACATATGTTGCAACTTGATTTACTGTGAAATTATGGAAGAGGCAAAAGAATCATCAGAGCAACAGCTGCTCAAGGCTCAGCACATGTGCACCTATTTCACCAGCTGTTCTGAGTGTGGCTATTGTGGTTTCTCATTTTAAAATATTCTTCTTTTCCCATATCCATTTTATCTGAAACAAGTGACTCAGTTCAGATGAGAGTCCAGAGGGATGGCTGAGTGGAAGAAGGAACATTGCTGTTGCATGGAAGTTACCAGTCCAAAACTAACCTAAACCTTTATGTGTGTGTATAGGTTCCTAATCTGGAATAACTTTAAACACCCTCATCATCCCCAGCCCTTGATTGGGGTTGAAATAAAGTTGTATGAGGAATCATTGGTAAGCGCTCAACAGAAGTCAATTTAGAGTTGTCTTATGGTCTCAAAAGAGACTGTCTGTCTTCTTAACTGCACAACACCACACCTTTATTTTTTCTGGGTATTTCTGAGCAGCTTCCTTTTCTCTTTTCCTCTCTGTACTTACTTGTATTTGCATTGATATTAGTGACAGTTATGTCTGTGCACCCATAAGGAGAATATATCCCTCTGTCTTGCCCCTTGTTACTTTGATAATTCAAACCTTACTATTTTCACCATTAAACTGTTATTGTTGTTAAGTGACTCATTGTAAGATACAACAAATATAAAACCCATAATAGTTGCAATTCATATTTCACGTGATCATCATTTATCTAAGTGGAACAGTGAATAAACCAAGAATGAAGTTTTATAGTTGTACACAAAAAGTATTTGACATTAAGGAACAAATATATACTACTACCCCAAAAAAGTAATTTGTGCTAAATCTTTAGTTGCTTATTTGGCCAAAATGTAACAAGGATAGACCCACAATACTTATGATGGAACACTTTCTGAAATTTTTGCCCAAAGCTACAAGGAGTAAACCTTAATTCATCACTCTGCAAAGTAAATTCCAGTACAGCTGCTGATTTGGGAATATACAAAACACACTAAATATAATCACAACTTCTGATCTTTTGTCTTTAACTAACTCCTAAACACTTTAACCTAGCTATGGCTAACTTCATTGATATTGTTACAGCACTGAGTGGTTCATGCACTGGAACCCAAGAAGTGGGTTATTTCTGTTAGGACAGAAAAATAAGTAGATGGCAAATGTAGGCTTATTAAATTATCCTAATCTACTTTTCTTTACAAATGTACAATTCCTGATAATAGGATATGAACAGACAGCACAACTCCTCACAGCAACTCTCCCTGGCTATTTTCCAGAATCAGAGTAATGTTTTCAAACCTCATGCACCATGGGCCTGATTCACAACTGCCTTGTACTTTGCATAGTCATCTACACCTGTGCAGAGTGAGTATAAAATGCTGCCATATTAGAATGGTACCATTTTACACCCACCTTGAACTGTGTCTGCACAGACTACACAAAGTACAAAGCAGTGGTGAATCAAGCCCACCCCAAACTATTAAAATCCCTAAAAAAAAATAGAGCAAGTAATTTTGTTGAATAAAACTCTTATTTTATATAGTCTATATGAGGATTAGAGAAGTAGATATATATATCCCCATCACTCAAACCATTCAACTCCCAGACTTTAATTTTGCTAGTTAGAGAGGTCAAAAGCTGATCATCTTCAGAGATAGTCTATGTTAAAACTACTAAGGTGGTATACTCTCTTCATGTGCTCATTAATGTTAACAGGAATTCTGTAGTGTCCTGGGTAGAATACACTTCTGTAAATTGTAAATGTTGTACATATTTAGGAGAAATCCTGCCTTTTTAAAAATTGTTTTTATTGCAGTTTTATTACTATTACATATATTAGAAAAGTATACATTTGAAACATGCAATAATCATAGTAAAACCAATCTCTACTCAACTTTTGTTTATTGTTAGAGTTGCAAAGGATCATTATACACATTATCACCAGGATCTGTGTAACATTTTTGAGCAATGTAGAGAGTGTTTAAATAACTCACCACCCTCTGTTAGGACTTAATGAGAGAAATCTTGCCAAATAGTTGGATGACATTACACAAATTAGACACAGGCCTAAAACCTATTTTTGCAGGTGAGATATAACAGATGAATATCTATACGACCCCAGCCAGCACAAAGAACATTATTTAAACAGACCCCTGCTGCCAAGGTTTAGTCCCAAACACTCTCCTAGATATAGTGCAAGTTTCATAATATAGTGGGGACTGCAGGTGTTTTCAAACAGTTCCGGCTACACATTTGTAACTCCAGCTGAAGCAATGGTGCCATGGAGTTTTACTATTCTGACTATATGGGAAACATCCAACGAAGTCAAAAGAGGAATACAGTTTTAAAGCTCTATCCAGTCACTTCAGTCAAATATTCAGGTTGCGTTAGGCTCTGACTCTAATAGGTCTAATAAATGTCAGCCTGCCAGCAGATCTTTTCTAATTTTCTCCCTTGGTTTTCCTGGTAGACTTGGGTCCCAGAATATGCAAGTTATGTTTCAGTCACATTTTTAATTTTGCTCAAGTTGTTTCAGCATTTTTTTTAAAGAAGATCTAGACATCTGTGTCGCACTCATCACCACGGTATCTGAGTGTAGTTTGTTAAGTCCTCTTGGGGGTGAGGACAGACGTACAAGCTGCCTGAAATCACCTCCAGCTCTGCCAGAACAGCTGTAAAAGCAGGTGACGCTGACCCTGGAGGGGCTAATTCCAGGGCAACTGAGAGCTTTGCTGATTCAGTGCATATTCTAGGCAGCTTTGCCAAGCTGCTGTTTAACATCATACACCAATATCACAATACCATTTAGAAGAGGAAGTAAAGGTGTTTTTATGAAAAAAGCCAAACTGCAAAACGCTGGGAGTTCAGAATGGAAGGGGCTGGGTGGGGTGTTTTTATGAACAAGTGCAAGGGACTGGGTGGGGTGTTTTTATGGAAAAAACAAACCCCAAGCTGAATCCCTTATACTGTGACTGGGAGTCTGGCATGCGGGGGCTGGGGGAGGCAGGGAGATGCCTGGGTCCTCTGGGAAAGGTTGCAAGGGAGGAGGTCCCCAGTCCAAAGGGGTGTAGGATGAGAAGGCCAGGGGAGGGCTTCTGTGCGGCAAATGGGGAGCAGCCCCTAATCAGAATAATCTCTTTTCACTATGTTAGAATGCTTTTTTCCTAACCAGGCTAGATTCACTGGTGCACTCCAGCTCCTATGCCACATTTTGACAATCGAAACCTGGTCTGATCAG